GCCGGCTCCTTCCCCTTAGACGAATAGGTACCTGAAACCAAAACTAAAACTGTAAGCACAAAGCTTAGTGAGTTCCCCCATCATACCACATACCATACAATCACATAGCATACATACTGTCGGGCAATTCTGGGGCGCCCGTCCTACCCATGTCAAGCCATTCTGGGGTACTGACCTACCCATGTCAAGCCATTCTGGGGTGCTGACCTACCCATGTCAGGCTGTTCTGGGGTGCCGACCTACCCTCCGGTCTTTCGACCGAACGCGAGGACTATTTCACCCCCTACTGCTAACACATAATATCATATCTCAATCATGTTGTCATACATATATGGGGTGTCCGACCTACCCGTTGGTCCTAACGACCGATTCGGGGACTAGTCCCCTTCTACTGATACTATCGCACGTAACATAGCAAACTAGCATAGTCACATATCAAGCAAACTAGCATACTCTCATATCAAGCAATAGCAGACCAGAAAATTATCACAAAGACAATCATCTCAGCTAAACAACTACTAGTGGGCAGGCCTTGGTGCCTTAGAACCACTTCTACTGGAAGGTAACTCACCTCGATGTCGTGTAGTGTCGGAACTGTCCTCGGCGTGAAGGTCGGCTCTCCTCAACTCCTCAATCCCTACACGACAACCCTCAAGTCATCAAACGGAACATACAACCCTAACCAGGGTCAACTCAAGTCCAGTCAAAGTCAATATTGGACAAAGTCAACACCCAGTTGACTTGACTCGCCGAGTTGGTCTACCAACTCATCGAGCCCATACTTCACTAACCCGATCCAACCCCGACTCTACTCGTCGAGTCTAGCAAGAACTCGATGGGTTATCCTTCATTCAAACCATCGGGACCATCTTCATCCGACTCGCCGAGTTCATCTCCCTCATAAGAATGTGTCCAGTCTATGACTCGCCGAGTTGTATGAACAACTCGTCGAGTCCGTCTTCAAAGATTGGGAGATTGCCTTGGACTCGCCGAGTCTGTTCATCCACTCGTCGAGTCCCATGATTCCCAGGCCCCCTTTTTGCGTCTAAAAAACTAAGGGACTTCCTTCCCTAACAACTGGTTCATCCACAGAAAGGATTTGGTGGTCAATACACACCGACTCGCCGAGTCCCAAGAACAACTCGTCGAGCCCATCCATGACCATTACTATACAGTCGATTTAGATGGGTCTTAACTCATCAAAACCATAGATCTGGTCCCCTAATGTCCATTTTTCACGTAAAGTTTCCAACTTGGTGCACATGCAAGGGGTCTTTGGCTCAAAAGGCCACTAAAAGTGATCCACAAGATGCATGGGGCTCTCATGGCCATAAAGTTGGCACCTTTATGCCATGAGACCCTTCCAATGACTCATATCTGAAGTCAAGACCTCATATAACACTCCACAAATCCGAATATGGCTTGGAAAGCCCTAAATGTGCCAAAACCCAAGTCCAAAGATGAATAAACACATAGAAGACCAAGACAGGGGCATTTTACCTTGATTGAGCTGAAAATGGAACTAGATCCCTGAATCTCTAAGCCCCAACTCGAACTCTCAAGCTTCTTTCTTCTTCTCCAAGCTACACCACCCACCAAATGTACCAAAATGGCCTTGGAACACACAAAAACGGCTAGGGTTTCGTTTCATAACTTTCTGGGAGTGATAAGGGCGATGGAGGCTGAGATAAGGTGTTTAAATAGGGTGCAAACCCTCAAATTTAGGGTTTCACTCAAACAGCACCTACTCGTCGAGTCAGTATCACGACTCGTCGAGTAGGTCACTTAAACTTCCCGCGGATCCCGTCTCAACTCGGCGAGTTGGGCCACCCACTCATCGAGTCCCAGAGAAAATACATACAATTCTTGAATAAAATACATACCAGGAATCAGGTGTTACAATAGACAATAACCCTTAGTTTAATTTTATAACTTTAAGCAAAGACAATTAGTAATTTCAAAATGACAAAATTGTAAAATTGATCCTTGTGGCATGCAAAAAACTTTGGATGGGATCCAAAAGGTTTCTGACTTGCATGAAAGGTCCAAAATCAAGAATTTTCTATGGTTTTAGTCCATTTTTGTCCCTGATAAACTTGAAATGATGATTTTACCCTTTTCATTTATTTTTCGTATTTTTTTCATATTATTGTAAACACTTTATTAAAACAAAAATAAAAAATAAAAACATTGTGCCTATCTACCCCACCCCACCGGTAACCCCTCTCTCTCTCTCTCATCTCTTTTTCTATCTCTCTATCTTTCCACCTTGTTTATACTTCTGGTCTAAAGAACTCTATTACCGGTACCATCTCCTCCATCAACAACACCGACCTAACCCTACTCTCTTTAAGAAATCAAGTCCATCTTCCTTTCATCTCACTCGCTCATCGTCATCAAGCACAGATCGGTTAATCGATGACGCTACCGGAGAAGAAGAAGCAACGATGGCCGCCACTGGAACTAGGGTTTTCAGAGTCGCCACTACTAGGGTATCGTTTGAAGAGGGCGGTGTTGGGTAAAAGTTTGATCGACGTTTGAGACGTCGGTGGCTGGACGTCCATCCTCATCAGATCATTCAACAACTATGAGTGTTTCACGGTCTAACCTGCAATTATTTGTAAGCCTCAACACCATAATCAAGGTACAATTTTTTGTGAGTCTCAACTGTAAACGTGTGTGTTGAATCTGAAATTAAAGTGCACTAACTTTCTGAGATAATCTCCTTCTTCTTCAACACATAAACAAATATACACACTCAAACGATTGTTGATTTCGTAAGTATGTGGGGAAGAGAGACAAATCGAGATTGAAGATCAACAGTATAGATGTTTTCTGTTGATGATTTGTTATCGTTACGAAGTTTGTTTAAGTTTATCTTTCTAACGGACAATTCACTGGTGGTATGATTTTGAAACTGAATCAAAATGTCAATTTGATTTGTTGGCAAAATGAAATGAAAGACTGAAGATCTCTTGTTTTTGTATGATTCTTTATTAGGCGTGGATATGCAACTTTGAAGATTTATAGCGATTATTATTGTCAATGAGTTTTTATCAAATACTGATTTGTATTTTGATCAAGTTTATCGATCAAATGAATAAGTCACCATGAAGCTGAATCGAAAGTGTGTATGTGTGAGAGTGTGTGTTTATTGTTGTGGCCAGAGAGATCAATAGGTCCATTATTTTCTTTTTATTTTTAATTAATTAAAGATTAAAATAAATATGAAAAATACAAAAAAGAAATTAAAATGGAAAAACGGTCATTTCAAGTATTTTTTGACCTAAACCGCATGAAATTCTTGATTTTGAATTTTTCATTCAAATCGGAAACTTTTTCGACCATATCCAAAAAGTTTTGCATACCAACCAATTTTGGAGTTTTGCCTTTCAAAATAAAACCCATCAAAATCACAAACGATTCAAGATTTTGAATGCTATAGTATAGGATGAGAGGTTTTTTTTTAATATGGGGTTGATTTTGGAAAGGCTTTGCAAAAATGGATTGGTTTTAAATATATTTGTAAAAATGGGTTGTTTTTTTATGGGGCCCACAAGAAAACCTTTAATAATGTCTCATATTTGACTCTTGTGACTTATACCAATTTGTTATTTGCATCTTTTATTTTTTAAAGTTTACTCTTTGACCTTTATTACATATAATATTTAATTCGTTTATTAAAAATATATAATCGTAATTTATGTAACATTTAAGGGAGCTTTACAGAAAAAAATTATATTTTGATCCCATATTTTATTAAGTTATAATATTTTTTTTATTAGCAGTTAAGATAAAAACACGAGTAATTGTTTACATATTTGAGTTTTTACCAAATATACCGGTCAACAACTAAATATTAAGATTTTTTCATAAATATGATAAGGGTTTTTTTAGTTTTTTTTTTTCATATTATCTTAGTATATTATATCGGTTTAATAGATTATATTATCTTAATTTAATCTTATGGTATTCTCTTTTCTTACAGAAAATATCCATTACAAAAAAAAAATTCTTTTAAAATTAGTTGTTTATTATAGTTTTCTTACAAATGATATCATTTGTTGTCAAAATCGGGATTCTATATAGGATTATACAATCTTACGGTTAGGTAGGCTCGACAATTTGATACACTACACGAGTTTTTCGAGTATGGTTTTAGAAATTCGTGTTTTATATCTATTCGTGTGAATACAAGTTCTAAATTTGTGTTTCATGTCTTAAACATGTCAAACACGAATTTACATGTTTAAAGCACGAATATATTCGTGTAAATAAGTATTTTCGTATAACACGGTAAACACATGTCTATTGGTGTTGTGTCACATGTCATACAAAGTAGTTACCTGTCGTGTTTGTATTTCATACCTAAAACATGTTTTACAGTTTATGTGGTGTTAGTGTTTTATAAATTTGTATCAGGTTCATGTTTTACAAATTTGTGCCGTATAAATTCGTGTTTGATATGTATATTTCTTTAACAAATGAGCTATTTATGTCGTGTTCGTGTTTAACAACCTCGATATTATTTGTTTGACAAATGTTTTTTTTTTCTAAGATAACTTTTTTGTAACTTTTTTTTATTGATTTTACTTTAAATAGAATATATGTAAAATAAATTTATATGATAAATACAACAAAATAATTGTAAGATAATATATTTTGTCACATGAAAAATGTTACATTAAAATTATAATAAGATAATAAAATTTAATTAAAAAATAAATACATCAATTATTTTGAAAAAAAAAATCGTCAATATTTTATCATATTTATGAAAAAAAAAAAACCCTCATTTTTAATATACAAATTTATATATGATGTATAATAAAAATCAAAGAATAACTTTTCTAAAATAAAAGATACAAAGAGAAAATGGCATAGAAGTTGTGGGGCTTAAAATGAAAAATAAAAGGGCCGAATGTGAAAATATTAATCGTGCATCCATTGTTTTTTGACTGGGCCACCTACAATAAACCAATTTTTACAAACGAATTTAGAATCAACCTATTTTTGCAAACAGTTATCAAATTGCAAACGATTCAAGATTTTGAATGCTATGGGATGGGGCAGGTATGGTAAGATCTTACGACCACCCCAAACGGGGAATGGCGAGATGAAGCCGTGATAATCCTCGAGATTTCTAAATTTAGAAAATTACTTGTCAATTCTAACCAAAAACACCAAATCAATCTGTTGTATCTTCTCGGAAATCACAGGAAGATCACCATAAACATTTACATTTGTGATTCGATTCGCTTCCTTTCAATACGATTCTGGTCGATTAGCCTATTGTGATGGAGCGTCTGTTAGGGCTTCTCAGAATTCGGATCAAAAGAGGTGTGAATCTCGCAATTCGTGATATTAATTCCAGTGATCCATATATCGTCATCAGAATGGGTAAACAGGTCTGCCCTCATGGTTTCTTCCATTTAGGTTTTCATTTCAAAATTCTCATACATGCTTTTGAATCTTTGTTGTCACGAATGGATTCATGATGATAAAAAGTTGTATTCTTGGGAAGAGATACATTAACTTTGGTGCCATAATCTTGCATTACTGATTCATGTTAAATTATTTCAAATTGGTTATTTCGATTTTAGTAATCAAATTTACATAATCTAATAAAAGATAATTAATGATTCTACCTTCTAATAATTAGTATTTTGCTTCGATACTTAAATTTCAATACTTTTGTATCTGGTCCACTCAGAGCTTCATCGTTATATGGTTTGCTCCATGGATGTTTATAATTTGATGCAGAAACTTAAGACTCGAGTCATGGAGAGGGATGTGAACCCCGTGTGGAACGAAGACTTGACTATTTTCGTTTATGATCCTGAGCTTCCAATAAAGCTGGTAAGTCTTTATATTTAAAGCATTTTTACATGTTATTCCAACTTTATAGGTGCAATTTTTGTGTGATTGACATTAGTAGGTCTACGAAAACACAATACAATTTGTTTTGTCATGTGTAACAAACTTTTGTGTATATATATTGCAGGCAGTCTTGGACCATGACTTTTTTAGCATGGATGATAAAATGGGAGACGCAGAATTTCACTTAAAGCCATTTTTGGAGGGTCTAAAGATGAATCTGAAGAACACCCCAAGTGGCACTGTAATTAATCGGATAAAGCCCAACAAGTCAAATTGCCTAGCAGAAGATAGTTGCATAACTTGGAGAAACAACGTTGTTGTTCAAGATTTGTGTCTAAGATTGAGAAACGTGGAATGTGGTGAAGTCGAAATCGAGCTACATTGGATTGATGTTCCTGGTTGTAAATTGTCTTAGAAATTTGATGCATTTCATGTCTTGTATATTTGCCCAATACTTGTTTTGTTTGTACATGTTTTACATCCAATATTGTATGTTGAAAGCCTGAGATATTATTTAAGTCAATAGTACTCATATTCTTGAAAGATACATTCAGTAAGTGCGAAAACCACTCGTTCTTGCTCGAGACATTTGTTCATGGTATATCATCTACCAAGAACACAATCTCATCATATAAAACATGGTATGTAGATGTCTTCATCACTTTGTTCACAAAATTGAAACATTATTAAATCAAACATCTTATATGCATAACATAAATTCAAAGTCAATATGACACTCACGATCATTCACGCCCATGCATACATTAGTGCAACCCAATTCGGTTAAGTTTATGATCTTTGATACCAAGCTTGTAACACCCTATGTTGGCATAATACCAACTACAACCAAACATTCATATATATAATAAACTTGTTGATAAAATAAGGATATAAAATTTCATAAAAGTAAAATTCTTTATATATAGTACGATGTCCTGATTTACAGTGCAATGTTATAATTGGTAAACCATATTAAACAAGTTTAGACTTTCAAAAATATCTTACTAGGTTAGATTTTCAAGATAAAATGTCTTAATGTTGGGTTTTAGATGGGTCATGACATTCATAGCATTAACACGCATCTGAACAAATAAGAAAGTGTGGAACTATTACATGTTAAATCGACCATTACCAAAGAAGCAATATTTATCAGCCATAAAGGTGTTCAAAGCAACAATTTAATTTAGGGTGCACTCCGTATTATGTAGGTATAACATTAAGAAAAGTAGGGACCAATCTAGCTCCATTTTACCGTCTATATACACATGCATGATTAAAGTGTTATGGTAGCCTACTAGGGTTTAAGATCAACCCTCTCTTCAATAACGACTTAACTACCTTACAAAACTACCTTCATACCCTATATGGGCTCTAGAATTTTCTGAAGGTTGGATTAAGTCAAATAAGGGATTATACCCCTTAAATTCTTAGAATTCGAGCATACTATACCAGTCACGCTAAATATATATCGAGTTTGGATCATGTTAAACTTTCCTACAAAAAGTCGAGGACCACACCACCTAATGGCTTGGTTTATTTAGGTTGCTTATAGCATGTACTTTGTGGTCCATGTGTACAACACCCCCATAAATCGTATAAGGTGTCATCTATGAACTAGATATTAAGCATATCCTACACTATACACCCTAGTAATTAAGCATATAGTACACTACACACCCTGGTTATGCAACCCTAGATAGGAGTAGGTGACGAATGACATCGACGTCAATCAATTATGGTTATGTATTTACACTGACAATCTCTCGTGTAACGCATGGCATAATGATCTAGAGATGTCACAAAACATCATATAGTGCCTATCAATCTATCTTTTTCCATCCATGTCAAATAACTATGGTCCTTTTGTGGTTATTTAGCACATACAACTTTTTGGTGAAACTTATATTAGTCCATCATGTTTCCCTTAGAAGGAATGGATAACATTCACATTCTCTACTCGAAAAAAAAAATCGATTAAAAGTGATTAACCGACAATGGTTTACATTTGAGCGTGCATGTGCATGTTTTTTGAAGATTCAATCAATAAGAGATCCATAAACATCTCTCCATCAGGAGCCACATGTGGCCCTTTACACCCAACAATATCTTTTATGGTAATCCACACTTAAGAATGACGTTAGGATATGTCAAAGAGCATTGTTATGTGTGTTGAGACAATAAGTTCTTAATAGCTTATTTGTATGACAGGTTTGAATCTATGTGATTCATTTTGATATTATATCCCATCAAAGTTAGAAAATCTGGCAAAGATTTGAGTTAAATTGAACTCTTACGCAGATATGTACTCCCTTTTACTTATTTCTTTTTCCTTTCTTCTTTCGAAGCATCACGATTTTGTGTAATGGTTTCTCAAGGTTGTTCAAGCGATTCATCATCCCAAAGTGGTGTAAGCAAAACAATGAACTTTTCCTTTTATAGTTGTTCCTATGGACAACCTTCCTTGCCTTGCTTACACCATTATATGATGATGAACCGCTTAAGCGACCTTAGGATGTCATTGCACAAAAATTGTGATGCTCTGAGAGAAGAAAATAAGAAGAAATAAGGAAACGTGAGTACATATCTACGTAAGCTTTAATGTAACCCAAATGTTTTCCAACTAGGATCATAAATGGAAGTCACGTCAACTTTTTTGCCTAGTCAGCAAGTAAGAAACATGAAACACCTGAAGCTAACCCTAATCGGTCAATTTGTTAAATTTGCAACAACATTGTAAACTTAGGGACTTAGTTGAGAAAAAAAACTAACATTATGTCCGAATCAAAATTTTGTATAAACATGCAAATTCTCATTGATTTAATTTCCAATGGGCTCAATTAGGCCGGACGGAGCCGGGTGCGGGAAGAGGGGCGGGACCTTTCTCGCTCCGATGAACACCGCACCAGCAGTGCGGGAAGGCCTGCGCGGGGAAGAGGGTGAGGGGTTCGGTTGCCGCGTTCTAGCTCCTTTGGTGATTGGGTAGAAAATGTTTTTTTTAAACTAACCGTTAAAAAACGGTAAAAAGTTATTTTTTTTAATTTGCAACGGCTATATGCTTTTAAATATAATTTTTTACCCTCTACAACTTCTATAAATACTCATACTCATTTACCTTCGATCAAACCTTCAATCAAACCTCAACCTCTATTTTCTTAAAAAAAAATGAATCCTGACAATCAAACCCCAACCTCCGATAGAAGGAAAATAAACTCATGTTTCGAGTTTAAGCACCCCTACTCGAAACATTTTTGCTATCGATTCATCATCACAAGGAGTTTATCGTCCCTAACTCGATGCTCCCATTCAATCTCCACTACAATTTCAATACCAAAATGTTAGACAATATTACCCGGTCCAAGTTCCAAATGTTTCCTCCGCAAAAGTTTTCAAACTTTGTTGTTTTTCCCGATCAAAATTCGCCAAATCAACCTCAAACCCAAACCCAACCCCAACCCAAAACCCAAACTCAAACCCAAACCCAACAACAATTCTAACTTGTCGATGAGTTGGATGACTCGGAAGAAGAAGAGATGGTTCCCGAAACTCAACCCACACCACCTGTAACATCCCAATTTTTGGTCTTAAAAATTGGGATGTTACAAGTTGGTATCAGAGCCTTGGTTTGAGGGATTCGGACGCACATTCGGGGGTGTCTGGACTCAAATCGAGGGTTTAAAAGATTTGTACAAGAAAATAGTTTTTCTAAAATCTAAAATAAGGAGTTTTGAGAAAGAACAAGGTGTGTGATACGTGCAACCGGCCGAGCTCAAGTAAGTTTTCCCCAAGATACCCATACATGTTATTTTATGATATGATATGATTATGAGAACTGCATGCTAGATTAGGGCTAAGGATTTAGGAATGATTCCTTATATGCCTATTGTATGTGTATGAGAACTGCATGCTAGATTGGGGCTAAAGATCTAGGAAGATACCTTATGTGCTTATTGAGTTACATGCTAGAACTGATTAGTCAGTAATACGATGACCTGAGTAGGATATGCTTGGTATGGTTACTCGATGCTCGAATGTTGCTTGTTTTGTGCTTCTAGGAGTTCTAGTTATCTTTAGCTAACTAGTAAACGAATACGTTAAGTTACATATTGAGAGGACTAAATAATTTCAGAAGGTTAGGTCTAGCCCTATTGCGCAGCTCTTGTTTGAGTCCAACTGTTATAGGGTAGGATCTTTCATTCGAAGAATTATATGGTCTTAGTGATATGTAATGGTATTCGCAAGCTAGTTAAGTAAAGGTAGCAGGGATTCCTTATGCAGCTGATGGCGGGGAGTAGGTCGGTGAGTTACCCTAGGGTAAGCCTAGGATGAGATTAGTGTAGTGAGCAGTAGTAGTAGAAGGGACCTGGTGAAGTCAAGGCAATCCTGGAGGAAAGTACGGATAGATGTGGAAGGTAGTATGGGCCCATACTACTGAAAGTAGAGAATTCGTACTCGAGTCAAGGAGGGCTGAGATAGACCTAGGGAACTTGTAGAATGTGTGAGACCTCTCAAGATTATGAGTGACCCTGACAATTACGTGTTTTGTTTCAGACTGGTGGTGATTACGCGACACGGAGGAGGAGGTTCAGGGTCAGGATCAGGTTCGGGATCGGGTTCGGGATCAGGTTCGGGATCAGGTGTCGAGCCAGTTGATGAGGGACTACGTGAGTTCATTGCTTCTGAGATCACTAGAGGCATCCATGAGTCGACCCCGGTGATTTTCAGGTCGATCAAAGAGGGGATTATCGAGCTGATGGAGGATCGCCTCAGGGCATTTAGGAGCGACTTGGCGTCTATCCAGTCAGGGGCGCGCACACTGTCCTTTAGGACTTCAGGGGATGTGGTGCGCCAGACTTCCACAGGGTGAAGGACCCTATTGTTTCCAGGAGATGGATTGCAGACATGTAGTCTGTCCAGTTGACGAGCTTCTGCCCTGAGGGGTCGAAGGTCCGGTACGCTGCAGGTTGTTTGAGGGACAGAGCTAGAGATTGGTGGGAGTCAGTTGGTGATTCTTTGGGAGCCTCAGCCATTGAGGCTATGACCTCGTCTGACTTTGTGACCAGGTTTAGGGCTGAGTTTGCACCGGCTCTGGAGCTTCAGCAGCTGGCCAGGGAGTTTCTTGACATGAGACAAACTACTGAGACGGTGGCGGAGATTACCGCCAAGTTTCGGGAGAGGGCCTTATTGGTGCCTCAGTATGCAGGAGATGAGGAGATGTGGAAGACCCGCTATCATGACATGTTGAGAGCTGATATTCGGGAGCATGCCAGCTACTCCGCATGCCCGACCCTGGATTCCATGATTGCCAGGGCGAGGGAGAGAGAGATTGATTTAGAGCACCTCAGGAAGAGGAAGGCAGAGACGGAGCAGGTTACTGGGGTTTCGGGGAAGAAACCCAAGGGACCCGACACTAGGTCGAAGGGCCAGCCGGGCCAGAGCTGCTGCAGGAAATGTGGCAGGCCGCATGAGGGAGCTTATAGATTAGGATCATCGGGCTACTACAAGTGCGGTAAGACGGGGCACTTCAGCAGGGATTGTACCGCCCC